TATGAGGACACAAATTTGTATAATGACATGGGTATGACACAGGTATTACAATATGAAGGTGGTTTATGAGGACACTTCCTGTGTCCCCGTAAAACAAAAGGCTTAAAAAACATACAAAACGGTGTTTTATGAAATTCAAAAACTTGCAGCAGTTTCCTGTGAGGGGTAGGTTTAGGGGTAGGGTTGGTGTAGGGCAATAGAAAATACAGTTTGTACAGTATAAAAACCATTACGCCTATGGAGAGTCCCCGTAAACCACAAATACAAGTATATGTGTGTGTGTGTGTGTGTGCGCGCTTTTATGACAACGTCACTTTTTTGTGACTGATTTTTTTTAAATAGCAGTGCTACATAGTATGGCATTAAAGGGGAATGTCGCCTTTTCACTTCTGAGCTTTTTTACAAGACTCTTCAGTTCAAATATCAGCCTCAGGCGAGTTTTATTCCTATTATTTGTATTTTTGCTGAACTATTTGTGTGTAAGAAACCGAACGAACGTGTAAGGTGCTTAGACTACATCAGTTACATTAAATAAAGTTGTATTAAAGAGAGTAAAACAGCAAATGATAGAAGATTTCACACACCTGGAGAAGTAGCAAGATCACCATTGTGCCCTTAAGGACAGGTGCTGCTGGGAGATTTTCACAACTGCTGTTGTTTGCATTTTGGATAAAAGGTGCTTTCAGATCCTTAGTGAGATTTTCACAAAAACTGCATTATGGGTTTCATAAAATATTCCAAGGTGCTAGTGTATATTCACAGGATGCGTTAATGTTGGGTGTGAATAGGACATAAGGTTAACTGAGGTGTATTATTAGGCCTATTTATAGCATGTGTTGACATACTGAAGTCATTATCTTGAGAAACTGAAAGGGAAAGTGTTAATAAAGGCTCAGAGATGAAGAGAGGTGGAATTCCCCTTTAAACTCATGGCATTCCTCATAAACACACAGGTGCTTTTTAATGTTTGCATTTTGTCCACAAGTGTAAAAAAACATCATGTATGAGCATTCCCTGCAGTTTTAACTGGGCTTTTACGGAATCTCATTTTGTAAACAAGACACTTACAATTAAGTGTCACTTGTTGCCTCTAAAAGGAGGCCAATCCATTTCAGTGCCATGTTTTTTTATAGTACAAATTTCTCTGTTTCTATGTTTTAGACTTTGTTTCTATCAGCTGAAACCATGTTGGGTTCCAGAAGCCAATGTGCCAAAATCATGTTGGGTATTTCTGTTCGTTTCCATTTTGGATTGAATAATGTAAAGGCATTGCAAGTCTTGAGTCTGGGAAAAGATACGAGTATGTTTCTTCAACATGTAAATTCTGACAAACTTTACTGAAGCTTATATTTATAGAGTTAAAGTGCCATTAAGAGCATAACACACAAAAGGTATTTAATGCTACTTTTATTTCACTCACCATGTAGCATTTGATAATGAAGAAAGGATATTTTGTTATTCAAGGTTGTAAGAAGACTGAAACCCCTCACTGTCATTTTAGAAATATAATTTTCACCAAACTAAGAAGCATTCACCTTAGGCATGGTGCAGTATACATCACAACTGTATAGGGGGGAGTGGGGTAAGATGAGCCATTTTTTACGTATGTGATCCTCAAAATAAGAGAAAATGAGGCAGAAGTACAATGAAAGTATCCAAAGTAATTTCAGGATGTTTCTTATCATTTTAAATGATCAGAATGTATCCAGAACAAAGGGTTCTAAACACATGGCTTCTTATAAAAAAGTGTTCCTGTGGCTCAATTTGCCCCAGGGTGGGGGTAAGTTGATCCCGGGGGTAAGATGCACCATCTGGGTGTAAACTGACTGAATCTGATTCAACCCCATGTGAAATTTTGAAGATAATTTACCACTTTTTAAAAACTAATTTAATAATCAAATTTCCTGTTACAAACAGTAACATTTCTTGTCTTAAAGCTACCTTAAACAGCATAAAACAAACCAAATGAAGATTAAATTTCAATCTTGAATTGTTTGCATTTCTGAAACAATATGTTGAACACCAAAGTTGTAACCTTCCCAAAACAGACTAACAGACTAGTTTGCGGAGTAAAATTAAATAAAAACTGAATTAGAATGAAGGAATACATGTCACTGAATCTAATAAACATTTTAGTCAAAATATTCTTGGCATGCTAGCTTTTCTGCAATGTCGAACAGGCCATTAGGGACTACAGGTGGAAAGATATATCTGATTATAATGTGATGAAAAGCATCTTCTGGTTCTTATCAGCTTCTGGTTCTTATCAGAGAAGGATTTGGTGCACTTGTACACTGTCTTTATCAAATAAACTACAAATAATATGTATGGGTGCCTTCCACTCCTCCCAAGCGTTTCTGCTTTTCACAGTCAGGCAGAAATGACGGGTGGTTCCAAAATACAAGGTCACATGACAGTAAAAATGTACAGTTGCCAAGATGCAGGGGGTGGGTCAACTTGCCCCACTCTCCCCTATTACAGGTTAGTTTAGTCCACATAAGAAGCAAAGCTTTAAAATGCGCAGATAAACTGTTTTAGTTTCATACGGCCCAACAGTGCTAAAATGAATGGAAAGAGAGAGTTTATTGGAAATGAAAGCAATAAAACCTCATTCCAGAAACCGGTTGACTTTTCTGTGGTTCTTCACCCTGCATTACACTGGTCAGCAGAGGGCGATATTATATCATCAGTGAGGCCGATTACCAATAGTAAATCAGAGTAAATCATTTTCTATTTCATATAGACCTATATACACACACGTATATGCATTAAAATGCAATAATATATGACATTTTAGTGTATATGGGTGATTCAGTTTATAATGGAAGGGGATCATTTCTTGGCCACAGTAGCAGAAAGAGGTTCAGAAAATGAATGAATATTAAAATAACAATCCATTCTTTTTATTCTCTCTAAAAATGGGAAATGTCATCATAATCCCACATAACACAAACGATCATTTTTAAAATGACACATAACTAAATAATAAAAAATAATATTCATATTAAAATATTTTTTTCCCCTTATTTGAGTGCTGTTTTAAGACCATTACCTAAACTCTCAGCAGCCTATTTAGTTCATTTTAATTCAGAAACAATCTTTTTTTTCCGTACAAAGTAAATATTTTTTATTATTATTATCACAATATAATTATTTTTAGTATTTTATTTTAATTATATAATTGTAATAGTTTTAAAAATGACAAAAAAAAAAAAAAAGGTAGTTAGAGGGTAGTTAGAATAGTTAGAATTACACTTCAGTGTGTTGTGTTTACACTTGGCATCTGGTGCTCTTACTAGAGAGGATTTCCTTACTCTTCTAGCGTGTAAAGCTCTAATGAGATTTCACACACAGGTATGTATGGCCCTCCTGCTGAGATTTACCCCATTATATTACTGCTGGCCCCTGGGAACAAGAGCCTGATGCTCGTTTGAGAAGAGAAAGTGAAACGACCAATTACATTTCTGAAAGTTCTTTGAATACGCGAATCCTGTAGTATGTGTATTTAATTAAATACCAGTCGGAGTAGAGAATTAACGACTCCTACTATGGCAAACAATTAGCTCATTAATATGAATGGTATCACGCGCGCTTTGCGTGAAGGCTGGTTCATGAATAATGGATAGAATTGGGATGACGTTTCTGGGGATGTTGGCTTTGCTCATGAATATTAAGCAGTAGGACTTGCTCGTAGTAGAATTCGTAAATTCGCTATCTAGACCGTGAGGGGAGGGAGTCGAGATTTGACCGGATTACGCCTGACTTCAGCGGCGTGTGTTAAACCTACCACAAACACACGGACATGACAGCACGGGGTAGGGTTTCATTTAGACCGCCAACACTTTCTGGGGACTTTAAAGCACTGCAAACATGTACTGAAGGATCCGTCTCGTTCATCTGAACATGAGAGTTTACGGCTGGACAAGCGGAGGGCTTTTAAGAAGGATTTTTATATCTCGGGCGCTCGCAAAGGTGCGCGCTTGTACTCGGGACAGCGGAGAAAACAGACTTTGAATGTTCTTTAATTAATTTCTTTACATGTCTGCTGGAAATTAATGAAAGTTTGTAGTCCGAGATGTCAGTCCCGACTCATGCGGAGACGCGTAAATTCACCCGTGGGCTCAGTAAACTGGGCACGGCGGCGGAGCTGCGGCAGAGCGTGTCGGAGGCGGTCAGGACGTCGGTTTTAGTGGTGAGTAGTGTTGGGTCGTTCTTGAACGATTCGTTCGTTTTGACGTAACATTTTAATTATATTTTGTTAAAATGAACGAAATGACTCGAAAAAAGATTCGTTCATTTTGCTGAACGAGACTCAAAGGTCCGAGTCGGTAAAATGATCCGAACTTCCCATCACTAGTGGTGAGTTTGTGCTGCGGTGTAGTGGTTAAGAGTTGCAACTGATTATTGCAGGTTGCGGGTTCGAACCTCCAGTTTAAGGTAAGACTTCAGATTACTGCAAGGCGCTGACCCTTTAATAAGTGAATTAAGCTTTGGATAAAAATCAGGTTAATCTGTATGCTGTTGTTAGCCTACTTATTAATTTGATGTCAGTGTCGTGTCACATTCACTCAGCCCCAATGCATTTACTGATCAACACATTAGATGAATAAATCTGTAGAATCAGGCATCAATGCAGGTGAGAGGACAATTTTACACTCTTTTACTTATTAATTAATGGACAGTTCATAGACTACACAAATATTTTTGTTGGAAGAACTAATATGCTTTGTTGTGTGTGATGGTTCCAACTTTCCTTGCACATTGTTTGGATACAGAAATGGACTTCATCCAAACTGTTGACAGGGAAAGAGTCGCGCCTTGGTGTGATTTATTATTTCTGTAGCCTACTAGAGAGGCAGTGTATTTCTGGAGAACTGTTTGAATGAACATCTCTGCCTCGTGCTCCAATCACTGTGATTTAGTGCTGAATGATCTGGATTGGTAATTATTAAAGATGTTTGGTTTAAATCCCACAAGGGTTGAGGCATGAACTGTCACCTGTATGCCATTGAGTAAGACTCTTAACCTCATGGGACCGACCCTGTGCTGTAAGTCACTTTAGATTAAAAGTATCTGGTAAATTAATACTTAATTACTCGGTATCCTTGCACATTTCAGGTGTTTCCTCTCAGCCCATACAGACGTCTTCAAAAGGAAGTGATTTGAGTCCAGACTTGTGTGTGAATGAGTCATTGAAACTTTTTGTTGTTTAAACCCACAAGCTGTTTAAAGGGGTCATATGATGCAATTTAAATTTTTCCTTTCTCTTTGGAGTGTTACAAGCTCTTGGTGCATAAAGAAGATCTGCAAAGTTGCAAACACTAAAGTCTCAAATCCAAAGAGATATTCTTTATAAAAGTTAAGAGTCAGCCACGCCTACCTAAAACGACTCGTTCTAATACGCCCCCACATGTCTATGTCACGATGTGGGAAGATTTGCATAACACCGCCCAAATGTTCACGCAAAGAAAGAAGGCGTAACTTTTATTCTCACTGTAGTATTGTTGTTGCCACCACCGCCATGTCGTGAAGGCGCTGTGTGTTTCGTTGTGAAAGCGAAACTACTTTGTTTGGCCTTCCAAAAGAGGACAATATCCGCTTCG